TGATTTTGATAGCGGCTTTCTTAATCCACCAGTACTTCTCGTTCTGTTACTAGCTGCAACTTTATCCAAAACTATGTTTGAGTGGATTTTTTTGGACAGGTTGCTGTAGATGAATGTTGCAGCATTGACATAACTAATTGCTCGAACTGGAAGACAATTCTGGACCAGGTGAGTGTACATATTTATCCTGTTCTCAAGAAAGTTGATGTTAAACACACTTCTAAGCGCCCTGTTCTGAATTTTCTGAATAGGATTCAATACTTTTTCGCATGCAGTGCCATAGATTGTTGACATATAGTTGAGATGTGATTCAAAGAGTGATTTGTAAATTAGTTTTTTGGTAGATTGCGGTAACTTGCTTTTGAGCTTCCATAATATTCCTGAAATTGAGGCAAGTTTTGATTCAAGAGCTTGACAGTGCCTATCCCATTTTAGATGTTGATCCATAAATAAGCCTAGATATTTCACACAGTCCACTCTCTTGATAACGTTGATACCTATGCTGATTGTGTCATTATCATGGATTTTCATGTATGGTGAGTGAAAGATTGTGTAGATCGTCTTTTCAAAGTTCAAATATAGATGCTGTTCATTGAAAAAATTCAGGATTACGTTCATATCATGGGTAATTTTGTCGTCTACCTTTTCATTCTTTTCGTGACTGTTAACTAGCACTGCATCGTCTGCATACAGATATAACTTTCCAGTAATGTTTAAAGATGTAATATGATTGAAGAAAATAATGAACAGAAGGCTTCCCAAAATTCCACCTTGAACTACTCCGTAATCTATACATTTTTCATCACTTGTTGCTGAATTTATTTTTACAATTTGCTTTCTTGATCTTAGGTAGCTTTCAATGAGTTTAAGAGGATTTCCACGAATACCAGAGAGTTCAAGCGTGTGAATAAGACAGTCTATATCTACCAGATCAAAGGCTTTCTTAATATCCATACACACAGCACTGACTTTCATTTTATTGTCTAGTTTACTTTTGATTTGTTCTACGAGTTCTAATGCAGCAGTTTCAGTTCCACTTTTAGCTCTAAATCCAAATTGATACGGTGACATTATCTTTGCTTTATTAAATACAAAGTCATACAATCTACTTGACTTTTTTGGAATCCACTTGACTCTTTTCGATTCTACTTGAATTAATTTGACTCTACTTGACTTTATTTGAGTCTATATGACTTTATTCAAGTTTAATTGACTTTATTCTAATTCACTCTATTCGATTCTTCTCGACTCTATAGAAATATACTTGACTCAATTGGAAGCTACTTGACTTTTTTGGAATCTACTTGACTCTATTCGATTCTACTTGACTATACTCGTCTTAATTAAGATTCAAAATTTAAAGTTTAAATTTTAAACTTTTGTTCAATTCAAGCTACTGAAAGATATCTGTTTAATTTATACGATTTTAAAGACGTCAATTCAGAATATAAATATATATAAACCATTTTCAAAAACAATTTCTTCCAAATTTCATATCTTCTGTCTATTATCAGCTACAAACAATAATACCAATAAAAATAATAAGAACATCAATATCAATAACAGCACAAGGTTAAATCAAATTACAATTTTTCTTTTTATGCTCAAGAAACGCTCGAATGCGTGAATTGTAGTAGCAATAAATAGATTGAGGAAGAATCGCTTTGACGATCTCCAGGCGCTCCGCTTTTTTGTGTGTTTTAACTTTATTTTCTCTTTTATCTTTTTCCCATGTTATAAAATACTTTTTTTCCTCCATTTGTGTACTAAATAAAGAGCGAGTGCCGATGTTGAAAGCGACACAAGAACGACAAAAAAAAAGTATGATGAAGAAGATTAAAAGTTAATGGGTGAAATAAAAGAAAGGAAAGAACACAAAAAAAAGAATTTTATATATAAAGCAGTAAATAGACATTTAAAAGCAACTAAGAATGGTAAACGCGACACACAAAACATTCTGTAGACGACGATGACGACGATAAGCATAAAAACAAACATTATAAAAAATAAAAACTTTTTTCCGTCGTTTCTGTGCTTGTTTTGAAGTTCTTTCGTTCCTTTTATTATGTTTTCTGTTCTTTTGTGTATATCCATACAATGAAGGTGGTGGCATTACAAGCTATCGCTTTCAATAATTAACTTGCGAGATAGGCTTTATTCGGAATTGAATTTTTATTCATTTATGTAGGGCAGGAGTAGCAATTGTGGGATATGGACTGGGAATTGAATTATTATGAGTTCATAGACTGTGACACTGGATTAATTTTAAGATGATTTTTGTTTGTCTTTTAGAGATGAGTTTGATGATAAGAAAGAATATCGTTAGCTCTTGCTGACTCAAACTAAATAGACAATTCCAAAAGACATCAATATTCACATTCTTATTCATTAAATTCAATTCATTAAGTACGAAGCAATTATTTACATAAACTTAGTAAAAATGTCTTTACTTTTAAGCGCATTTTTCTTATGAAACAATACGCTTATAGGTCTACTTTGGCTGGTTGGCTGGCTGTCACGAGTGCTCGGAACTAGAAGCACTTGAAGATCTCTGGTTTTTTGCATTAGATAGCTGCTAATTCGGAGCTTTGTAGGTTTTTTGTTATTGTTAAAAAATACTTCTAGTTTATTGATTAAATTAATATTGCTTTCTTTTACGGATGGCATAGCTTATTTTTACATAACATTACTTTGTAATTCGAAAAACCGTTAAACTTTGAATATCATGAAATCGTTAAATTTCTTCAAAGTATTTAATCATCTCTTAGCAATCAAATATCATGAAAAGTAGCTTTAAAGTTTAATTAATTATCATTTTTACTGATCTATGCGTGGAAAATGCGCTTAGCTCGTACGTTTACATCTGTAACGGCGACTTCTATACAACTTAAAACTTCAAGTGCTTAATATTCCAACTTTATAGTCAAATTGTCTTTTTCATAGTTCATTAAGCAAACAGTTTGTTTAGGCAGGCAATAATTAAAAATTCTAATCTCGCCCCACATTCACAAGTCGAACTTTACTTTTTATTATTCTTTCTTCCACTTAAATTCTTAATGAATGTAAATTTCCTAACAAAAATAACTTCACGTACTCATAAATAAAATTTTTTTATAGTAGAACTTTGCATGCTACATGTTTGAGTTTCAGAAAAAAAAGCAAACAATTTAAAAATCTGAAAGCACCTCATTCAACATGCACACAATAAAGAAACTTCTCCTTTACTCAAAAGAATAACAAAAAAGGGAATTGATTAAAAATTTAAATGATTCTCGTTTCTCGTTCAGAGAAAGGTAAAGAATAAGAATTTAATAGCTTTTCATGTAGTTTCATATAATCTTCATCTACTTCTTTTTTTGACTTCTTTTCGTAAGGAACGAAATTCACTCATCGTTAAGATTAATGAAAAATTCATTCAAAGACACATCCGATGCCTTTAATTCTTATATTTGCTTTGATAAAAATAAATTCACTCGAAAAGTGCATTAGAACTTATTGACAAGGGTTTGCTGTCTAACATCAAGAGAGAATTGTTGACAAAAAATGAGGGAGAGACAAAGTTTAAATATTAATAAAAAGGTTCAGTGATTGCAAAAAGTGGATTTAGCATGGATGACATGTCATATTTGTATCAAATTACGAATATAAAAGACAATTTGATGCAGGAATGAATGTTAGGGGTTCCAAGAGCAATGAGCTATGTAGAAGGTTTGTTGCTGGAAAAGTTCGAGTCTTATAGACTTGTCTTTCGATAATGTGATGTCGGTGCATAGTCAAATTTTTGGTATCAAGCTATTTATAAGCGAATCTGTCAATGCGAGACGAAGGCTTCTGTAGAGCGAGTTGTTAGACAACAGACCGAATATCTGTAATCATCTTTTGTGAGTATGTGGGTTCGATTCCCACCAGAAATTGATTTCTCAATCATTATGTAGATTGTTGTCGATATAACAAGGATTCGCACAACAATCAAGATATTAAAGGTAAGTTTGTTTCAGGACATGAATTGTTGGCATCAGGCAATGCCAAGCGATTTAGTTGTTCAGTCAAGACCAAGTCAATAAGTTTTTGGTATTTGTCAGCTGTCATCTGTGTCATCATCTCTATTAAGATAAGGTTTGATCGAATATTTTTCTCTCTTCAAGACACCGAGCCAGATTATTGTTCAGTCTCGCTTCTAGACTAGACTTTATAATCCTAACATCTTGTTCATCAACATTGAACCCGGTCTAAACCACAAAAAATCATTCCATAACCCCTAAAACATAATGCCTTAAACCACCTACGTCTCCCAACAACTTTTTTTTATTTTACATATATTTCACTTCCATCATGTTGTTTGCTTAGTTGCATGCTTTTAAAATTGAAAGCATGTTTACATTTTGGATAACACATAAATATACATTTTTTTTCCTTCATATATTGCAAATCTCTCTTTTTCTAGGTCTCATCTTAAAATTTCTGTTTTGCATGCAATGCTTGTTCTTGTTATAATATGATATGGCAATACTTAATGAAAAAAAATTATATAGAAGAGATTTAGATGTGTTTGCTGTAAGATTATTATTTTTATTCGTATCTTCGAGGCAGTGTTTAACAAACTGTAGGACATAATGATAAGTTTGCCTACAGACTTCCTGTGGGTCCACTGGAATCAAGAACTTTATAAGCTAATTAAAGTAATTTTGCACTCGAAATGAAAGTTAAGATAATTTTTTTTGTTTTTTTGTCTTTGAACTCATAAAGCTTCAGATGAAACAGACTAGGTTCAACCTCTTTGGCTACTAAACTTTTAGAGCGTAAGTGTATGTTGTTAAAGAATGATTAAAATATCAAACAAGTTTCATTTCTATAAGCAACGCAATGGCACCAACACTTGTTGATTCCATGACAACAAATTGAACCATTGCACAACTTTAAACTAAGATCAATATTTAATAAAATTTACAAAAATTTTAAAAGTTGATTGGTGAAAAATTTTTTGATTTATAATTAAAAATATGAAAACTTTTAGAGTTTTAGCAGTTTTTGTAGTTTATATTGTCATTAATTCGACTTTCACTGCATCGTACCATTCTAAACACTCATCTGGGAATGCAAAACTTGTCAAAAGCATCTGTGAGACCATAAATGATGTCGTAAGGACGAATTCAGAAACGAAGGACATAATGATTGCAAATTTAGGCAGTAAAGTTTGGTCAGCAACTCTCAATGATATCATGCAATGCATTAATGATGATAATCCAGTACTGTTAACAGACTTTCATGCAGTCACAAAAGATAAGAGCTTGAGAAAGGCGTCAATTGTGATTTTGGCTTTCTACAGGCTTGACATGGTTAGATGGGTCATTTTTTGAGGGGAACACAACATGATGAAAAATATTGGAAATCTTGCCAATTTTCTTACCGAATTATTCTTGTTAGAATTATTCTCTTTGAGTTGTTTTCCCCTTGTAATTTTCATCAAGTTGATTTCCCCTCGTAATTTGCAGCAATTGTTGGATTTAATTTCATCCAATTAATATCAATTAATTTTTTCAGAACTTGATCAGATCAATAATAAGAAATAATCACTTTTCATCAGTTTGGCATCATATGGCCAGAATAATTTGCATGATGCCTAAACCTATTAATTTGAATTTAGCAGCACAATCACTTCAAGTATTTACAAACTCAGGTTTTTTGAATGTTGCATTCGTAACTAATGATGCTCAGTATATGATAATTCGGTCAATGACAATGGAAATAGTTTTACTTTTAAGCCCTGAAAATGGACATGTTGTGTTTCCAGACAAACTTAATAACATGAATGGTTCTTCGTATCTTATTGCTTTGTATCATCAACCACCACGAATTATTATTTTAAAATTCATAAGTGCACCAATGTTGTACTTTTTTCATGCTTTAAGGAAAGTCCAAAATGCAAGTTTTAAGTTAAATGTTCTGAAGAACACCAGCATGTTGGGACCACTATGGGTTCAGAGAAAAATGCATTTGACTTTAAATACGGCATCAATTTTAGACACACCGGAGCCAAAGTTAATGACTTATGAAGAGAAAGGATACTGCGCATTTATTCCAATTCCTCCTAAAGTTTCACTAGCTAAAGTTATATTCATTAAGCCATTTGATGCTTTAACTTGGATTATTTTACTATCCTCGATCGTTTTTTCCACACTTGTTTGGTACATGTTTCGTAATTATGGTGCTGTTGATTCCGCATGGCTATTTTTGTATGGATCTTTTGTTTATTTCATTGGACAAGGCATCAATTTTTCGAGAAAAAACCATATTGTGCTTGTTATTTTCATTCAATTGAACATTCTCATGATGTGGATTCTTAGCAATGCTTATGAAGGTGTCATCACCTCATTCATGATAGATCCAATCTCCGAAAATCGACTTCAGACTGTTAAAGATCTTTTAGATTCTGATTATGAAATCATTACGGATGAAGCTTTTGCATTTACTGTAAGACATTATGAAGAATTTCAAGCGATTAAATCAAGAGTCAACACATCAGGATTAAAAATGACAGGACGTCAAAATGAAATAATTCTTCAACAGAAATATGTTTTGATCAAATCATGCGAAATTATTGAAGACGAGTTAAGTTTCACACTTCCAAATCAGCGTTATTATGTCGACTACTACTATATACTTCCTGAAAAAATAATAACTCAATTTGTTGAGCTTGAAGCAAGCTACATGAACCCATTTCTAGAACGTCTACAGTATTACATGGATTTGTCATTTCAAGCTGGTTTGATGAAAATGTGGATTACATTTAGCTATCGAGATTTCTTTCATAAGCCTGAAAATGAAAGCCATGATGTTACATACATTCATTTAAACGATCTTTATCAGGTCTTTAGTATTCTTTTAATTGGTTATGGTCTTGCTGCAATTGTGTTTTTGATTGAAGTGTTCTTTTATGACTGCTTAAAGGATTTGAACCTTTGTTTTCAAGCTTGTCGATTAAGAAATCGAGTTCATCAGATGGCGTATAAGAAAAGAAGGCCAAAAGATCCAAAATATCAACGAGGTGCTCTTTATTACATCATTCATAGACATAGAAAAGTCAAGAGATTGCAACGCGGAAGATTGAAAGTACGGAAGATTATTGTTCAGCCTAGAAATCAAGTTTATTAGGGGATAACTTACAGAGCTGATCTTCTTGAGTTGATGTCAGAAATTATAACTTAACCCTTTACTAAAAGCGTAGGAATTAGCTTGAGATCCGGAAGGAAAACTTGTAGATTTTGAGACAGATCACCAAAAGATTGGAGCTCAAAGTCAATTGACTCATGACATTCGAGGATAACCTTGACTAATTCCCTTTAATTTAACTTCCAGTAATATTCAAATTAGATTCACTAAAAGGTTTCTTAACTTCATGCCATTCTTTTTCGCATGTACGATAATAATAAGAAACCAGCAGTATAGGAGGTCGTCTCCAGTGCGATTAACAAGCTTTGTGTCGGATTTTTTGTAACGTTTCCGTTTCTTATGTGTAAAATGCTTGTTGACAAAAAAAGCGAACCTTCATCGTTTCTCTCGTTTATTCATTCATGGCTTAACGATAATGTGCTCACATTATTTGCCTTTTAATATTTATTCATTTCTTTTTTGTCATGTAATGGATATTCTTTGTGCAAATAGACAGCCTCGTATGAATGTTTGAAATGATATTGAGTTTTGTGACTGTACAAAAGATTATTTTTTATTCCAAATAAAAAATTTGCACAACTGTGGATTTTTTCAGTCATCATTAATCAACATTTTCAGACATAATGTAGATGAATGAGTTTGGAATGAGAAAATTTGTTCATTATGCTCGTCAATGAAAAATTGTTATAGCTTTATATTATTCAAATAAATGTTTATGGCCCTCCTAAAAAAGTGTTGTTGACATTCGATATCTACATATATGTTGAGTACTATAACAAACAGTCATTCTTTTTACACATGATTGTCGGGTATGATATGAGAGACATGGAGAGGAAATTTATTGATAATATTTACATTTTTTTAGGAAAGACACAGCAATGAGAAATTATACAAGTAGGAATAGAAGTTGGAGATTTATTGGTGATGTTGTGGACTAGACGAAGTTTTTAATGGAATTTTTGGTATGTTGGATTGCTGTGAATTTCCAAATTATGTGTCGTGATACAGTGGGCATGGATTACCATAGCCCATAACATCTTACTCTACATCTTAAGTATACCCTACGCTTCCCTAAGTTCCATAATAATAATAATAATGTGTGAAGGGCCCAGCCTTTCAGCTGGAGGCACTGCGATTCAAATTAGAACAGAATCTATTGTACCACACCCTTTAGACCTACAGTTTATAGTGGGATCCGAACCACTTGCAAGCTCTGCACATTGCAAAGACACGAGTACGTCATAAGACCTGATGTATCCTGTAATGTACCTAGTCACAATTTGTGTGCGCAAGATGCCGTAAGGAAGTCATCCATATGATAGTACATCCTTGTATACCTAGCAAAAGAGGCAGATTCTGTGCCAAAGACCTCAAAACTACACCCAACACACGAACCGAGCTTCGTAACCGGAACGGTGAAATGGAAAAAGAGCTTCGATAATTAGACATGGTCTGGGTTTGAACCCAGGACCTTTGGCACAGAAGGCCAACGCTCTACCATTTAAGTCACTGATAACATTTCAACGCTCCCTAAGTTCCATACTAGACTATCTTATTCTTCCCTACAATATACTGCCCTACCTCTCTTCTAGGGTTAGGGTTAGGCAAGAGGGTGTGGCCCAAAAATTTTTTAGATTCAAAAATCAATAAAACCTTTTCTATTCGATTTGATTAAAGTTAATTTGATTTTTCTTGCTTTAAACTATTACACTGCCCCATACCACCCTTGACTGCGAGATACTACTAAGGTTGTGCCCAAGGCGTGGAATTTCAGGATTAATCATTAAAAATCCTAAAAAAATCTTTGAGCCAATAAACATGAAAATGTGAAAACCTTTTCAAATCCCGAAAATATTCATCAAATGCATCAGGGGTTTAAAGAGATTACACATTTTCATATTTATTGGCTCAGGGATTTTTAAGGATTTTTGGAATTTTTCAGGATTAATCCTGAGTTTCCACACCTTGGTTGTGTCTTATCCTAGAAGTACCCTTGCCCTCCTCCTTCTTCTGCTAAAAATTGCCACGTCCCATATCGATAACAAATGGACGAAATGCAATCCCCATCATACCATATAATCAACAACATTAAAGTTAAATATGTACATTTATTATACATTTTTTTTGGAAGCAAATGAAACATGTTGATGTATCAAATATTAAAATTAATTTCTCTTTATCATCGTCTGGTGAGGTCTGTTGTTTGTATTTTTTTAAAAACATATTAAATAAAATGGTCAAAGATATGAAATCATTATTGATTTTTTTTTTCTTCTACCTCCTCGTCTCGCTCCAAACCACTCCATTAAGAAGGCAGACTACAATAGCAATACTGAGCATATAAAAAGAGAGTCTATAATGCTGTATTGTGCTGCATGCGATGACTATCGCATTTATTTCAATTTTATATTGTATTGATCATATAAAGGCATTAATAAATGAGAAATGTCGCGTTAGTTCCAATGAATCAGACACAAAAACACTGAGATTTATTTCCAATTCCTCCAGAAAAAAATTAAAAGCCATCGCAGTTAGTTCAATTCAATTTAATTCTTTCCTGTACTGAATAAAATAATATAATAGATTCAAATCTCATTCGTCTCTCACTTTTATTGTATATTGCTTCTATTCATTTCAATATTGCAGTTAATTCCCAAGCAATTTCAATTTTACCAATTTTCTATCTTCCCATTATTGGATGTCTTTTCAATTTCTTTTAATTGGATTTTAATTTCCTCGTTTCTTTCTTCATTTCCCATTTCACGATATTAGCAACTCACGATATTTTATTGCCAATTCAATTGTTCTCGGCTTCTATATGTCTCTGACTATAAACTCTTTTTTTTTGTTTCTCCTGTTTATTCATTTATTGTTTGTGTAAAATAATAAATTGTGGTTTCATGATTTCAAATATATTGATTTTAATTGAGTTATTGTCAATGTTAATTTATTGGATGTTCGGATAGGAAATTGGAATAGACAGAATTTAAGTGCGACTACAAATTTGTAGATTTTAATTACTTTGCTAACGTGAGAATTGTAAAATGGGAGTGTTCTTGGAGGTTATGTGAATGTGATTGGTATTTTTTTATAGTTTTGGAATAAAGTTCCTAAGGACCGATCGTCACACATTGAAATGTCTGTCACCCGGTAGCCGGGTTGATAGTGTAATTAGAATCAAGTAGCAACCACTTGGCATTCAGTTGGAAATAGCTTTCAAGCGGCTGCAGCTTGGTTCTAATTATACTACCAACCCGACCACCTGGTGACAAACATTTCAATGTGTGCCGATCGGGTTATTGACTATTGTTGATGATTGAATATGTTTCATGATGATCAGCTCTATAAAACCTTCAGTTCTATCTCCTTTTTTCCGAAGACGACGTTAAAAAAGGCACAGAACCTCGCTGGCTATGTCTATAACCTTTAATAATCAATTTGACATCAGAATTCAATAGCAGACATTAGAAATCATTCCATCATGAAAACCTTCAATTATTGAAAATCAACAAAATTTCACCATATGAAAAATCTGCAATATTAACAAGACACGATAGCTTACAACATCATACGTGTATATGAGCAGCTTCATGTGCATATACACATCATAAACATTAATGGAAAGTTTTCATGAAAAATATTTTTTCATCTCCTTTACTCCATCTCACTTTAGTCATAATTTAATAATCATGTTCTTTTTACATCCACTTGCTTTCTGCTATGTACACATGTACATAAAAATGAGGGCAATAACGTGCTTTTTGAATTTTTTTTTATTAAACACAACTTATGTGTTTATGTATGAATACTTTAGCATATCTATGTATGCACTACACTCAATCTAAAGTGCTAGAATGGGAAAATAATAAAAAATAATGAAAACATAAAATCTCATCAACATTACTGAAAGTTTCAAGATAGCATGCATGATGAGATGTTTTTATTGTATTTAACTTGAAGGTAAGTTCTTTTGTAAGTTGGAAATTTTATATTTGAAAGAAATTGGGCAAGGCGCTTGCAGCATTTTGAGTGGAAACTTGAAAGTTGTTTGTTCGAATCTTAATACTCGGAAGTTTGTTATTTTAAAGGAAAGTAAGGTACTAAGGTTGCTTAATGAATAGGATTGCATTGAAAATTGAAGCTTTGAATGACTTTGGAATAAGAAATGAGTTTGGAACTAGAGATGAAGCTACAGCAATATGAACTAGAGCTTAAAGATTATCTTTCAATTTTAACATTGATTAAACGGACCAAGAACCAGCATTAGGGCTTCTTTAAGGTAGAACTAGAAACTTGACACTTCATGACCTGGGACACTGATTTATTGGGCTCCCTTACTCTATTGTTGTCTCTTATCTAATGTTTTCTGGCTATGCTTCTGGTCATGTCAATAAAACAGTGGTGTCCAACCTTTTTGTGCAACGGCACACCTTGGTGGTAAGCAATGACCGAAACCCCACTCAAAATACGGTTCGTGAAATTTCCTGAATTGAGCACTAGTGTGCCGCGGTACATGGGTTGACCATCACTGCTATAGAAAATTGTAACCAAAGTTAATAGCTATCAAAGCTTATAATTGCAGCAACTAATCATCACAATTTAAACCGTCAACCACACATAAAGTTTAAACACATTCTCTACAACTCCACTCCCATCATTCTTTCCTATTTCTATTTACTTCCTTTGTTTCCAGTCTCGCAATTAAAAACATCCCTTTTAATTAATATTTCTGCTAAAGCTTCATGTTGCAATTCTGTTACAACTTGCAAAAGCGTAAATTTCATTGCAATTAAATTAATTTTTTTAATGCTTTCAAGCTTTATGATGGTGAATGAAGCAAAAAGTTTGTAATTATGGCACTGCTCGGTAGCAGGAAACTTTTGTGTTTTTTACTAAGAGCTACTTTTTTTATGTACTAAAATGCGCTTAATTAATTTATTTTAATTTTATTTTGTTCCTGTGTAGCATGCTTACGTTAATGA